GAGATCTATGGGATTAAAGGCATGTGCCACCCACCACCGCCACACTCTTGCTATGGCTCTAATAGCTCTGACCCCCAGACAACTTTATTTATTAACATACAATCAAAATCACATTTCAGTACAATTAGATTACCACCACATACTGCAGGCAAGGGACGTCAAGATCATGATGGGAGGATGTACAGAGATGATGGACCACACTAGTGGAAACACATAAACTGTGGACTAGTGGCTGTGGGGACCCCATCGAAATGGACTAGGCCCTCTGGACAAGGAAGACGGTTGTTTGGGGGGGCATCCAGGTAGGGGGATCAGGATCTGTCCCTGGTACATGGGTAGGCTTCTGGGAATCTGGTGCCTGTGGTGTGACACCTTTCTCAGCCTTGGTGCAGTGGGAAGGGGCTTGGACCTGCCTAGGCTCAGTGACTTGGGTTCTGCTGATTCCCCATTGGAGATCTTGATTTGGGGGATGTGGGGATGCTGGATGGCTTGGGAAAGAGGGCGGGGGTGGGAGGAGGGAGGAGAGCATGTTGTGAATAGCATGAGGACTGAGTATGGGGCATTGACCCACCACTCCCAGAGTTCCCCAGAGTTTTCTTGAGTGTAAGCAGCAGGAAATATTAGATAGAAGGATTTATTGTTTACAATCTTGCGGAGATAAACAGAATATAAAGGATAGCCTCAAGAGGGCCTGGAACCTTTTCCAACGGACCCCGACTGTCTCTGCCCCAGGTTTTTTATACAGACGCCAAGGGGTGGAGCAAAAGACTCCCTCCCCCAGCACAGCCAAGTGCAGACCATCTCAGACACCTGCACTCAGGCCCGTGGTCCTAATCATCCTCTATGCTGACCTGCTGGGTAAAGCCACAAGGAACAAGAGAATGGGCTGCCACAACTGAGTAGAAAATTTCTTAATAAAAATGAAATAAAATAAAAACACACAGCTGGAAGGCCTAACACATACATACACACAGGATTATCATTGTATTTTTTAAAGATTTATGTATTTATTATGTTTACAATGTTCTGCCTGTGTGTATGCCTGTAGGACAGAAGAGGGCACCAGATCTCATTGTTGTGAGCCACCATGTGGTTGCTGGTAATTGAACTCAGGACTTCTGGAAGAACAGCCAGTGCTCTTAACCTCTGAGCCATCTCTCCAGCCCCCAATCTTTGTATTTTTGATTTGGGCAAATGTCAATGTGTAGTTTCAGACATATAATAATGTTAATTTCTATTTCAGAAATACAATAATACACAAGGTTTGAAATTTTATAAAATTTTATTTTTCTGAAATTTTCATACATGAGTATACTATTTTAATCATTTTACATTTTGCCGGACACTGATGCTTCCCATGAGATGGAACTCCATCATTTAAGTCTAGAATTAGCTTGAGGTTTTAAAAGACCCACAATCAAATTATCTGCATGTGGTATTTATCTCATTTTTCAATATCTGCCCTCTTAATAATTCTAATTGCTATACTAAAATATTGGGAAAAAAACTAAAGGTATGCTTGATTTTTATTTTTATTTTGGTTTGCTGATTACTCTGTCTGACAGGATAGCTGTACACCCTGAAGAAAGAGAAGATGTCTGTGACTGTTCAAGGAGTAGATATGAGCTATAGTCAGAGGACCCTCACAAGATGATAACATTCACCTCAGGTAATGTTTGAAAAAAGAAGAAAGCTTTCATGATGCAGAGCAGGAAATGCTTAGAGTTTCTAGCATGAGACTATTATTGAGTTATTTTCATAATATATGATATAGGAATGATAGTAACTTTGTATTATATAAGTAAACTGGTATTTAAAAAAAGAAAAAAAATTGAAACCTAAAAAAGAGTCATGGGGTTTGTTAAGTATCATCTATTTCTTGTGTTTTTGTTGTTATAAGAAAGTTTGTACCTAGGAGGAGCTGAAACACACCTGTGTATGAGGGCTATAGCTGTTTGAGAGGGGATACACAGTATGTCCTGGCAACTACCCTATCATGTGATAGTAGTCTTTTGGATGTAGGAGACAGGTTACTGAAAGTGTGGTACCTGGTAGGTCCTGAACATTAGCAATGTGAAAGGCTTAGAATTCATGGTTGTATACCTAGCAGACCCTGACACCAAGTTGTATGTACTCATGCTTTCCTGTGTGTGTTTATGTGAGTGTGCTTTTGAATGTAGGGGAGATATACCTGGCAGGTGCCCTCTGAGATACTATATTTTTGATTTATGAAAGAACATTTATTAATATAACATAGTCAAGATACTAAGGAGGAGAACTTGTTGGCGGCCAAAGAAATGGGCCTCTTATGCAGTGCACAGTCTTCTCATTTCTTTGTAGATTACACAGGGATTCAGGCCTCACAATGAAATAGGCTTGGAGCAGGAAAAACAGTCCTCTCAGTGCATGGAAAATTGTCTTCTTCATCAGCTTCCATCCCCTGAGTGACATGGATCCAGTTGTTGTAGGTTCACCTTGGCGCTGGTCATTGGACTTGTTGTGCCCCAAAAATGGTTTCTCTGTGGAGAAGCCTATGTTCAGTAACCATGTGTGTCTTCCATCCAGGGCTGATTCACCTGAGGAGAGATCACCAGGCAAACTCTCCCCAGAATTCCTGTTGACTGCAATGTGTCCTGCTGCACTGTTGATGACATTCACGATAGGAAGACCACCTTCTGTGACTATTTCATCTGAACAGGGCTTTTTCTCTTGGATTGAGTATCTATTGAGAATGGTGTATCTTGTGTCTCCCTACTCCTGTACTTGTTGGAAAGGCAGGTTCACTGGCTCTTCTCTTCAAGGGGAGTAGGGGCCAAAGAGCAGCTTCATGTTTGTCATTCAAGCAGGGCTCCTGATTCTGCTGATGTCTTACCCCACAGCTCAGTTTGTATTTGAGGATATTGAAGGTTGCCATTAAGTTATTTGGTTGCTTGTGTTTCAGAGATGATACAATCTCTTCATGGGTGTAGCCCATGGTGCACATGGTCTCCATGACCCTGGGAAGGAATTCCTTGGTTGCAGGTGCTGCATGTTCTTTAATGTTGCCCAGCCATTGGCTTTCCTGGAGCTGACATATTGTTATTCTTTGCTTGTTGGGGACCATCAGTAATTGCTCAATGAGGATGATGCAGGGTTTTGACAAGTGGTAGGGAATGGGATACTTTGTGGTGGTGATGACCCTGTACATACCTTCATCGGTGGTTTCCTCATATGGAAATTGTCCTGTGACCAGTACATATAGGAGGACTCCCAAGCTCCACATATCTCCCTCCAGGCCATCGTAGGGTTTCCCCGCCAAAATCTCTGGAGCCAAATAGAGCAAGCTACCCCAAAATTCCTCCAACATCTGCCCCTCTGCCAGCTGTCTGGCCATACCAAAGTCACAAAGCTTGACATTGCCAGCTCCGTCAATAAGGATATTTTCCAATTTAATATCACAATGGGCAATTCGTTTTTGGTGGAGAAAATGAACTCCTGAAACGACCTGTTGGAATATTGGTCTGGCCTCATCCTCCTTTAGAAAGTCTCTGTCCCTGAGGAAATTTTCCAGGTCCTTTCCTGAAACATATTCCATGATCAGATAAGTTGTTGAACTTGTGTCAATAACATGAAAGAAATTAACTATGTTTCTGTGTTCCACAGACTGAAGTATCTCCACTTCAGTATTGATGTCAGCCAGAGAATTCTTTCTCTTCTCCAGGACCTTGACAGCCACCTGTGTATGTGTAGGAAGGTGGCAGGCAAGCTTCACCTCCCCATATTCACCAGAGCCCAGAGATGTTAAGATCCTGAAATCCTTTTCAAGGATGTTTTCTTCCAAGGGGCTTGCCATGATGTTATGTTCAATTAGACACTTTAACTTGTGGGAAATTCCTGGGACAAACGACATGATCTAACAATACCTGAAACAACAATAAATGTAATTTTAGGATGGATTTTTAGTTCTATGATTTCTGTCATGGAATGTGGGATATCCCAAACAATCTAATGATGCAAGTCAAGGACATAGAAATACTAGAAGAACACACCCTCCAAGCACTAGATGAAGAATCACAGAAAAGATCAAATATGGAATTGCTGATGTATATATACAAAGGAAAGTCTGAGATCAGAGATAGAGTGACTTGGTCATTTTTCAAAAATGTATACAAATGAAAAATTCTTACCCAAACTGATCAAGAGATTGAAGATACAAACTTATAGGGGAAAAAAGTGAGGTTATGTCCCAACCAAACTACAGTCCTGAGGATCTTTCAGGGATGTTTCAACTATTAGACGCCAAGAAATTATAAAGTATGAAAGGAACTTACAGATGTGTGTGAATATTAATATAAGATAAAAGCAAAACACTTAAAGACTTGAGTTATAAGCAATATGTGTGGCTGCTAACAAAAATGTCTACAAGATAAGTGGAGCCCAGTCATCTTGGATTTCCTGAATCTACAAAACTTTGGAGAAGAATGAACACTGTGCTGGGGAACTTGCTGATCAACCTGACACAAACTAGAGTCATCACAGAGGAAGGGACCACAGTTGGTATCATGTTTCCATGAGATCCAGCTGTCTGGGATTCTCTCAACTAGTGACCAATGGGAGACGCTTGCCCATTGGGAGTGGTGCTGTCTTTGGGCTGCTGGTCCTGGGTTCTATAAAAAGCAGGCTGAATAATTCAGGGGTAGCAGTCAAGTAAGCAGCACCCTTCCATGGCTTCTGCATCATCTCCTGCCTCCAGCAGCCTGCTCCGTTTGAGTTGCTGTCTTGGCTTTGATTGGAAATGAACAACAATCCTCCAAGTATAAGCTGAATAAACCTCTTCCTTTCCAACTTTATTTTTCTGTGTTTTTCTTTTGCTTGTTTGTTGTTTGTTCATGGATTTTTTTTTCAGCAACAGAAACCCCAATTAAGACAAAAACCAATGTTACAGAAAAAGAAAGCTAAGGAATGTATTCAGACTGACCTCAGTGCTAGTATTACCCTGAGACCACAACCAAATAAGCTCAATGAATAAAGAAAGGACAAACAACTGTTTGAGGAATATAGATTGGGAAAAAAAGCACAAGGCCCTGGGTTCTTTGATCAGCTCCAGGAAAAGAAAAAGGAATTAAAATTATTAACAAACAAATTGGAAAAAATCATAGCGAATATGGAGAGTGTGAAGAATGGTCCACACTCAGCACCCTATCTATTGTTCATTTGTGTTATAAGGAAAAATTTAAAACTAGATGTAGTTTTATGTGAGACAAAGCAGGTCCACAAACAGAAATAGAATATATGTTGTCTTCTTTGGGTCATGAGGAAGAAGGAGGGTGAGCTTTGTAAAAGTCATAGTATCAGTCACATTGCTGTGGTAGGGGTACTGAAATAATGCAGGGCAATATGATCAAGGGAAAGTACAGGTATATATGGAAATGTTTCGTAGTATCAAAGCTCGTAGGTCTTTTAACAAAATCCCACAAAATCCCGTGGAGAGATTTTTGGATAAATGCCAAAAGATTAGAAAGACAAAGGAACAAGCCACTGCCAAGTTTTAGCTCTACAACTCCTCAGCCTAAAAAGCTTTATTTCCTGTCTCCTCATGCCTTCTATACTTTTGTCTTCCCAGCTATCAGTTCCTTCCTAGAGGGACTTCCCAAGCAAAAGCATGTGATCTCTAGTGCTGGGATTAAAGGCATTTGATTCCCAAGTACTGGATTAAAGGTTGTACTACTATTTCCTGGCTCTGTTTCTCTCCTAGACTGATTCAATCTCATGTAGTCCAGGGTGGCTCTGCACTCACAGAGATCCAGACAGATCTCTGCCTCCTGAGTGCAAGGAGTAAAGGTGTGTGCCACCACTGCCTGGACTCAATCTGGTGCTTTTTCTTTTCTCTGATCATCAAGCAAATTTTACTAAGGGATGCAATATATCATC